GCTCTCTCTCTCTCTCGCTCTCTCTCTCCCTACCGTTAAGTAACTTGTGCATTGTTTTACTTACTTGTTTTTTACATATCCGCATGAACTACAAACTTTCCAGTGATGTCTGTGAGAAGGGGATATTAACTCGACAAGCTCGCGCATGTGCGCCGCTGCGCGCTCAATCCACTCAGCGTGCTTCGCTTATCAGCTCGCGCATATCAGCTATACAGGCGTTAATACTGAATGTTTAACATTATATTCATTGCATACATATACTTCGTACACTTCCTTAATCTCTAATAACTCCATTCTGCTGTCTGTTGTATCGGTGTTTCTTTGTCTGAATATGGCACTTATCAGATGCTGTGTGTATCGGCGTTTGGTATCGGGGCATTTTAACAAGTATGAGTACAGGAGCTCAGTATCGGGCCCGATACCGATACCAGTATCGGTATCGGTGCATCCCTAATAAGAACGATATGATTGCCAGAACAAATTTACCGGGATTTTTGAAAAGGGGTCTTTTTTGCTTTTGTTAATTGTATAATAAATTAAAAGAAAGCAGATAGAATACAAAAAGATTAGAAAGCTAGTGTTAGTTTTTTTTAATTTAATTTATTTATTCTTTATAAATAATAAAGTATATTAAACTTAATATAAGTCTATATTAATTTCTTATACTTCGTAGATATCCTTAATCTCTAATAATAACTCCATTCTGCTGTCTGTTGTTCTGTTGCCGGTGTTTCTTTGTTTGAATACGGCACTTATCACATGCTGTGTGGTATCGGCGTTTGGTATCGGGGCATTTTAACGAGTACGAGTACAGGAGACCAGTATCGGCCCTAGTCCCAATATATTTGGCACTATAGTGTATGTATGTATGTATGTATTAAAATGCTATTTTTTCTTGTGATGGCAAATCTTACTGATTCCAAATGTCTGCATATATTGTCTTTTCTTTTCTTTTTTTTTTTCTTCTATTATTGTTAAAGGTTTTCTTTAAATTCAGCAATTTTGTGTCCATCTTTAATTACATTTTATTAGACATAGCAGTCATCCTGTCTATAAATATTAGAATCTGTTTTGACATTGGCCATTTAATTACGCTGTTACGTGTCCAAAAAGTGGTAGTAATTTTTCTTCATAACTCACTTAGTGAAAATGAATGAATGATATTAAAATATGTAATTTTGATATCTCTTTTCTCTTTCATTATGGAAAGCATCACATAACCTCCATTGACTCTAATGAGACAAGTTTGGGAAGTGCTATAGGTAAGTTTTTATTGATTGCAGTTTTATTGTTCTAAGGTTTTCACAAACTCTTCAACTCTTTCTGTGCTTTTTTATTTTAAACCAGTCTTACATGAACTACATTCTTTAGTGTTCAATACACTTTGATATATACGTCTCTAATGTAATTTAGCTCCAATTTTCCAGACATGTTGTTTTTCAGGAGATCAAATGTAGTTAAATTATTGATGTTTTTCAGTGTAATATTTGTTTTTCAGCCATTAGCTGAAAATAAATTGTTAAAAAGTGAGATACCTACCTTTATGCTTTCTATGAGCATTTCTTCCACAACTAACAGGTCAAGCAGCATCTGAGGAGCTGATCAGAAACACACTATCTGCAGTGGAGGCCATTTCCCAACATCCTGCTCTTCTCAGCTTCTATCACTGCACTGTGAGTATATGCCATTCTTTGATGTTCTGATTTTAATTTTGTCTCTCCCAATTATTTATAAATTATTTAAGCATTTAAGCTTTCCAACAGCATTTAGCTACTCATAATATAATAACTGCACATCATGTAATACATATTACATTATTATTGTAATAAAATGTTCATAATGTAATAATTGTAATTAAAATTAAATAAAACTAATTCAATTAATTAAAATAATTAAAATTTAAATTAAATCTTGAGCTCATAATGTAATAATAATTTTTCAGTGTAATAAATTGTTTTCACATAATGTAATAAGTTATTGTATGAGAAATGTATTACATTATGAACACATTGTGGCAACTTATAATGTAATCACAGTTCATAAGGTAATATCAGCACATCATTTAAAACAATTATTATTATGTTTACAATATCATAATTATCTTTCAATATAATACATTTGAGCACAAAACATAATCATAGTTTTATTAAAAGAAAATTAGGCTTATTAGGCTGCATTGTGAACTTTAATTTTTTATAAAAAACTTACTAATTTTGTGATTATGACATACTTAATTTTTGAGATATAGGCCTGGTTTCACAGACAGGGCTAGACTAAGGCCCAATCCCAATTCTATTTTATACCCCTTCCCCTTCCCCTACCCCTCCGCCTACCCCTTCCCCTTGTCCCTTGAAACAGAGTGTCAAGGGGTAGGGGTGAAAATATTCCCTAAGAATTGGGACACCACTACTATACGTCACACGTCATCATACGTCATCTAGCTCCTACAATACACACACCTATACTGGTGTGCATTAGAGCCTTTAATTACCGTTCTATATTAATGCGCTGCTTACTGACACACA